CCTGTTGTTCCATTAAAAATGATGTTGCCAAAAGCTCCATTTGAGACTCCTTCCACTGAGATTTTCAGAGTCCCACCTACAAGAGAGACACTTCAAGCTTGTCTTACTGACAAACACGTGAAGAAAGTGGTTCAGCAGTTCATTGATATCCTGAGCATCGCAGTTAAGAAATGTGTTTTCTGTTTGGCCAGGGATGAGAACTTGACACCAGATAAAGCTCTGGAAAGTCATGATAGGAGAGCAAATGTTGCAATCCTATTTTCTGGGGGTATTGATTCTATGGTCATTGCAAGCCTTGCTGACCATCATATTCCTGTAGAAGAATCAATTGATCTCCTTAATGTGGCTTTCATGACTGAAGAAAAACCTACAACTAGTTTGAACAAAAAAACGAGTAGGCAGAAAAATGATTGTGAAGTCCCCTCTGAAGAATACTCTCAAAATTCTGCTGTCACATTTGATAGTCCTGATAAACAATTCTGTGTACCAGATCGAATCACAGGAAGAGCAGGACTAAAGGAACTGCAAGCTCTCAACCCTTCCCGAATTTGGAATTTTGTTGAAATCAATGTTTCTTTGCAAGAACTGCAAAAATTCAGAAGAACCCGGATATGCCAGTTAATTCAGCCCTTGGATACAGTTCTGGATGACAGCATTGGCTGCGCAGTCTGGTTTGCTTCAAGAGGAATGGGTTGGTTAGTGACACAGGATGAAGTGAAATCCTATCAGAGCAATGCAAAGGTGGTTCTTACCGGAATTGGTGCAGATGAACAACTTGGAGGTTATTCTCGTCATCATATCTGCTTTCAGACACATGGCTTAGAAGGATTGAATAAGGAAATACAAATGGAGCTGGGACGAATTTCTTCTAGAAATCTTGGTCGTGATGATAGAGTTATTGGTGATCATGGAAAAGAAGCAAGATTTCCTTTCTTGGATGAAAATGTTGTCTCCTTTTTAAATTCTTTGCCAATTTGGGAAAAGGCAAACTTGACTTTACCAC